AGGCCTTGTCCAGACACATAATAGTATGGATTAAATAGCAACCGCTTACTAAGCCTTTGATCTACGAACGCAGAAACACATTAGGCTGGCTTTCATGAACTAAATATTTTCACACAGCACTAAGTATACTTAATTACTTCATAAAACACCTTCACTGCAAGGAAAATTTAATATTTTATTGCTATTGTGTATTTCTGAAAAGAATATCTAAATTTTATTTCAATTTACGTTCTCCTCCTACTTTGATTCCCCAAAAATAAACTTTTATTCGCTACCTTTAAAAGATGTGGTGTTTCTGTTGTTAAATGTCTGGAATTCTGACACTCAGCAACAAAAACCTGGGCAGACTGGATAACAGACGTCTGCATTTGCGTTTAAACATTGTTTTATGGAATCCATTTTTCATCGTCTGCTATACATAATGATACATATGTCATTACATTTTGTTCCCCAAACTGAAATTTTATAGTGAGTCAACCTGATGCTAACTACTTCAAAAAGATAATTATTATAATCTATATGTTCTGGTTTTGGGATCATTTGACAATAGATATCTTCGTAAATTAGATATTTAAACATGTCTATCGGATTGATACATCATTTGAATTTACTAGAGCTTTCTTTCAATTTGTATTTAATATACTTTTTTTCTATTATTTTCGCATGTCGATTTTTCCTCATATGAAAAATATTGTATCTTAAGGAATATATACACAGATAGACGATCAATTTTCTAGTTGCGCGATATAGTTACTTATCGTATAGCAATACTGATATCGGATCATTGTGGAATGTAGCAGACATGTGCAGAAATAGTTTTCTAAGGAAAATAAACATTACTGACAAATACCACCCACAAAGAGCCTTGATCTTTTCCTACGAACCGATACATTTCGAAACCAACACAAACAATAAAATGATACTTCCTTTAAATTTCTTTCTGTCTTTTTCTCTTTTGGTCACATAATCCTATTTGATTTACTCGTAAAAATCCTTTTCAGATCACTTCGTATCAACGACGCCTGCGCTACGCTCGTTATGTTGCGAGTGCGCATGTGCAATTGGACACAGGAATAGCTCGCATTACCTTAGGCAATATATTTCCGGAAAAATCTCCACAAAAGTCTTTTTTCTTTGTTAATCTGCATTTCTTTATTTTTTTTATCTTTATTAAATATTTTTTTAGCTATCGTTTGTCTAATGTTTGAGAACAACAGTTTTGGATTTTAGTATTATAAAAAAAACGAAAAAAAAAAACGTTTTAAACAAACGAAATTCATAATAATAGTATTAACCTAACCTCCCATCATTCATCTGGCCTTCTGGAAGCAGAAGCTACCATGCAGCGATTGAAGAATTGATTAATGGCTTCTACAAATCCCTGCTGCTTTTCTTTTTTTATCTTCTTTATTCTTTCTCATAAAGCTAGTTGCCTTTTTTCAAAACTTTGCAAAATAGTTATTTTCTCCAATTCTCTAAGGTGTTGCAAGTTCCGATTTAAAGCATTTTACATTAATCACCATAATTAATTCATGTATAAGTTATTGCAATTACTTTGATATTCTTAGATAAGGCATATTCTAAATTTTATGTCATATCTTTTACTATGGACAAGACTTCATTTTTATTTTTAATTCGAGGCGCAAACTTTTTCGACCACATCCTAAAATTTGACCGAATGATGCAACCATTGCTATTCTCGTAAACTGCGTAGGGAAATTATATTTAACACCAAGAGATAAATATTATTTCAAGTGATATTTTTGCCCCCATTTATTCTTATCGTTGTTACTTTTTTTAACATTTTTTTTATATACTGACACTACCATTCCCTTTTTTGCCAACCATTAAGCAGACTACTCGTTTCCCCTCTGGCCATCTTTCAGTATATCCTGTGACAGCCAAAGTCTTCAAATCCTTTTTCCTCATTATATGTCCCAGGTAATTTAATTCTGTTTCTGATTCTTAGTAAATATGTCCTTTTTTATTCCATTCTCTTAAAGACTCCTTTATTATTCGGGTAGTCCGCCCATGATATTCTCGTTCTTCTGCAAACCCTCCTATTTTCTCAAGTTTCTTTCATTTGTGAGAAAATTGTCTAATATCCTTCATTTGTTTTAAAAATAATGGCAGACAGATAATATTATTAAACGATGAGATAAACCAAAAATACTATAACTGTTCAATACAGATTAAATTTTATTAAAGTATACTGGAATTAACTTTGGATTGTCTTGTAAACCCTCCCAGAAACTGCTAAACTATGAAATGCAGAAGACTACTGGAATAATTCCAAAGTATATAGCTACGAAAGACTGTTTAATTTTACTTGTTAATCGTATGATATTTACCCTCGGAATTAAAAAAAAAATATTGCTTTATTTCAGGAAAACTCACGAAGATATACTTACTGAAATATAAATAAATGAATGAACATAATTAATATCTTCTACAATATGAACATTTCCACAATTCGTGTCAAATTGACACTAGAATTCTTCGTCTACATTTACCCAATATGCTCCATAATTACGGGAAGCGATCATTTAACTCTAGCTCAACGGAAATTCCATCTTGACGCTTCTAAAGATAGAAATACAATTTTAAATTCAATAATCTGACCTCTGTTTTTCCCAAATGAAGGCTTATTTTTGTTTCCTCTATGAGGATTGAAAAAACGGAAGCAGGTTTACAAAAATCAAACATCATATATACGTGATCGATGAAATATTAAGAACACGATATAATGTGATTCACAATTATATCAAACAGGATATTCCGCAATAATAAAAAAAAAACGTTGGAAATAACAAAGCAATGTGTAAGGGAAAAAGAAAAAGAAACGAGATTTTAAATGGAAAAACAAATATTTTAGAAACATCAATTTCGTGAAATAAAGGATCTATTTAACAAAGAATATTATATTTTAAGGTAAATTTAAATACTACGAACCTTTTGGTGTAAGACTATAAAGTTAATACTAAACATATTAAAGACAAATATTACGATATATGAGCAAGAAGATGAATAAGTGATTGGTCTATTAATAACAAGACTAAAACCAGAAACAATAATATCGAAGTGAAAATTCTTATGGCAAATCGAAATATTTACCAAGCGCTAAATCGTTAATGCCTATCGCCATCAATAATTAATACCGGATTTTTATAAATCGATCAAAACGAATTTGGTTTATTTTTAACTATAATACAGTAGTTATTTACAAATCTATGATTAAAACTTTCGCTGCTGCATTGTTATAGAATTGCTACCTGGTTGTGCTGCATTGTTTTGAGAAAATATGAAATTATTATTCACATCGAAATAGATCACTGTAAAGATGCTGAAGGCGGTTTTTCATGGACGCCGCCATTTTCGTTTCGATTGAATAATCTGCAGAATGCATAAACAACGACCCCAAAACAAAATATGATAAAAAAATACCTTACGACGATGGTCGTATTTTTTTACTACAATAGTTCTATCCTAATTTGGATAAAGCAATAAACGTTAGTTAGTTAATAATAAATCAGGAGACCGACATTAGTTTAATTATTATACAAACTTAAGATTGACGTTTCCGCGTGTCTAGAAAAAAGTATAAACACGTCGACAGTAGTTGATGTAAGTTTCGGAAGTAAAAAAAAACGTATCAATATGTCTACAGCAGCAGAGAGCTCAATATTGAAATTTTATTTTAAATTTTGAAATTAATACTTAAATTAATCGGCTAATCCAGGGTAGAAAGGTAGGGGAAATAATTAGTTGTATAATTAGCGAATGCTTTTGGGATTAAAATACAAATATGAAAGACTTAAATACATTTGCCAAAAGTAAAGAAATGTTTTGCGTACGGTTTTTTTATTGTTTTTTTTTACATTCAACACGAATATTAAAATGCCATTTTGTATCGATGTATGTGCACTAACGGAGACGCAGAGAGAGAGAGAGAGAGAGAGGAGCGAGAAAAGTTGAGGGGGGAAAGAAATATGGAATTGACCTATGTAAATATTAAACTCTCAAAATACTGAACAAGAATGTGACCAAAAAGTATGTGTATCAAAAAAGCAGTTCATGTAAATAGTAGGAAATGAAGGGAAGAAACATTAGTAAATTTCAATTTAGAAAATACTAGTAATATTAAACTCAACGGCACAACAAAGTCAAAGCAAAATCCATCCATTAACTGTCTATTGAGAGATATTTCAGAATGCATTCTAAATAATACCAGAAATTATATAATTTTATTGATGAAAACATTAAAAAAAAGATCTTGCATATTTTTACATCATAAGGATGCCTATCGGTACATAGTATATGAAAAGAATGTGATAGCAAGATGGCCTATCAATACGTAGGATTGACTTGATGTCACTTCGAAAAAATATGAAGAGAAGTCAGAAATATAAAATAACATTTGATAAACAGATGTTTCATAGGAATTGAAAAGAAAACAACTATAGGACCACAATTCTATATTGAGATATGCGTTGAATAAAAATAAAAACAGATATATCGTCTATGTAGCAAAATATTGCGTCCAAGAGATTACATGATTCAATAATGTTTCTTAAAAAGAGGATAAAGCTAAGCTATATGAAGAAAATGCATATAGTTGGAACAAAACGTATATAAAATAGGCATAAATGGGTTAGAAACATATTTTTTGAGGAATTGGACAGAGTGAAAAATTTAACGATAAAACAATTAGAAATGAGCAAAAGAGAATCTGATTTGATTTATACATTCATTTTTACGGCTTATCTACACTTTACAGGCTATTTCAAACCATATGATATTTTTAGATTGTAAGACTTGTTTTTGAGACAAGAATTATTTAGTAATACGTCTAATTAACACATAGCTGGGGGGATAAGAGATGAATTCATATCTTCCACATGGGTTTTTGCGCTAAGCAAATATAATGAAACAAACTGAAACTGCAACTTGACTCTCCAATTGACGATAATAATATCCATTACAACACCAACACATCCAAGCTTACAGCATCTGGTATTACAACATGGTCACCCATCTAGGTACTGGCCAGACCGGACGTTGCTTAAATTCGGTGATCGTACGGGAAACGATGTTTCAACGTGATATCACCGTGATCTCGGTATAGTATGTACACAGTCTCATTGTTGCGAAAGAAATACAAAGCTATTAGGCTAAAATATATAAAAAAAATTCCATATTCTCTTCAAATATTCGGTTGTTGTTCAATAAGAAACAATACTTAAAAACTAGAAAATATAATCGAAAAGAGCAAATACATGCAGTTTAATAGTTCCGTAACTCTCGAAGCGTTTTGTCGAACTTTTTTCGATTGATTTTTGTGTCAATGTTGTCATTGCAGTAACACAAATCAACATGATTTTTGGTGCCAAGAAACAAAACACGTTTTTTTAGCTAATTTTATGGTGCTGATTTCGAAAATGACCTTAATTTTCATAGTTAGCTATCAATTTTGCTGGACTGAAATTGCTCATTTTTTGGAAAAAAGATCAATTTACAATCTTGGCTGATCGCAAAATTTAGTTAATGAAGATCTTAGAAACACATCCATTTTCAGGTAGGCCAAGCTATTTATGTCAGTCACCTGAAATAAAGTATTTATTATAATAAAATGTGTGTTTGAGTAAACCATTTTAAAAAAGAAGTACTGAATTTTTCCAATTTATCTCCAATATCCGAATTTATCAGTAATACACTGTAGTTAACCTGATAATTAAGGTGACATTAAGGAAATAAAAACCTAAAATCTTCTGTTTGGTATCCTTAAATTTATCCCTTCTCTTTTATCCCTTCGCTACAGAAAGAAACCAAGCACATTGAGAGTATTTTTTCACAGTTGGAAAGAGATTTCTACTGAAAACATCCCGATTGAATGCACCTATTCCATTGTACACACTACTGAAGTGCCAAAAGGGACTACCAATATCATATATGCAGAAAACAAATGAAAAAATTATTTTGTTTTCAAAAAAATGAAACTTTTTGTACAGCAAAAACGGTAGCTAACCAAGAAAATGTAAGGCAATTTTCAAATTAGGCACCATCAAATTAGCTAAAAATGATGTTTGATATCTCGATACCATGTCGATTTTTTTTTTGTTGACCAGTGTAATCGTAGTGATCTCTTCAATTTGTACATATATAAATTTCCCACATTCCCTTCTGTACTCTTGCTGATATTAGGAATGCAGAAATACGGGTCATTTCAAATAGTGTCCAGTTATTTTATTTTTATTTTTTTTTGTTCACATACTTATTCCTTAGGCTTGGATGTACGGCTGGTATAACGGACAGCGACTTCAAATGAGAAAATGTTCGCAAATACACTTTGAGAATTTATGAACACATCTTTTCTCGACATCACTTATGGGTTATTAATACTTGGATGAACAAATCATTATTAGCAACGAAAAAGAAAATACCATACAATTTAAACGTATATTCTGGATTTAAATAACCTGTGACAGGTTGATAAGCCATAGAAAACGAAGCAATCAATAAAGAAACGATATCCTATATTAAATGTAGGCAAATCATATGAATATATTGCGTATTTATACATTCCCATGATCATAATACACCGTCTTTCAACTGATTCAATCATCATGGAGGACTTCAGGGCAAAGAAATAGACTTTTGATTCTTCTTCCTCCTCATGATACTTTAAATGTGCATTCAGATAGCTTGGCGGTGCCCATCTCTCCGAACGCTTGATCGACAAGTGAATATGGTATAAGTCGTCCTTGGTTTGTACACTTGGTCCTCATGTTTTATTTTCAGAGTTTACTTTCTCCGCAATCGGTTGCAAGCCAAGGTTGTAGGAACTATTCGGTCCAGTTATTTAACCATAGCTGGAGGGAGAAGATATGGATTCATACGTTTCCCAAAATTATTAGCACGTAAGCGAATGCAATGATCTTTGTTGGAATTCGAATTGCACTCTGATTTTTAAATCCGAGCTGTTAACCATTACTGTAACATACCAAATGCATAAAGATGCCATAAAAGAAAATACAGCACAATGTATTTTTGAATATCTGGGATGAAATGTTATCATTATTTATATTATTTGATGTGTACTGTTGTCCTACGTCGAAGTGTTTCGTTGATTAAATGTTGGTTTGGGAATTTGAGGACATATTCAAACCCTGGACAGGAGAATGGTAGTTCAGAGAAAACGGGGCAATAAACAATTGATCAGTATTATTATAATAAAGTAGATGAGATACGCATAGACATAGGCAATGAAAAAAAAAGAAGACTATATCCCCGTAGATTAAATAAAGTGTGCAGTTCGATACTCCCTATCGGCGACAATGACCATTAAATACATGAGTAAGCCCTGTCTTGAAAGTCCTAACCGTTATGACAGCAATGACAAATATGAGAGAAATAGTCCTCATGTAAGTAATATAAATAAAGACACCAACCATTTGTAATTGGTTTTCTATCTTAGGCGAGTATTCTATTTCTTATTTACTTTTATCGATAGATAACGAAAATAATTTCGCCATTTTATCTCTTACAAATATGTCTCAAAGATTCTTAGCATGACGGTAAATACAAACATTGGCTTATGCAACATCAATAATATTTGAGTATTTCAAAATGATTTTCGTTCTTTTCAAGGGATCTATATACACATAATTTCTGAATGCCGACTTTACCATATATCTATAAGTGTGTGTTTAATCTGGGTCTGTTTATACTTCCATAACTAGTTTTGCCATCGTGTGTTGGCTCATGTTTCTGACACTTTATTTGATGAAAATGTCTCCAGAAAACAAACCGGCGCCGTTGAACACGAAAGTCAGAAAATGGAAAAGAACAAAAGAAACGTATTTGCATGCAAACTTTGCGCCTGGAGACCTTCCGATTTTGTAAGATGCAGTTTGTGAGAATATTATTCTCTAACTTCGCTTCTTATTTCTATTGATTGGTGCCTTGTGTGCTGCGTGAAAAGAAAAGGCACTAACCTATGAAATATACATATTCTTATGTTCTTTTGCTAGACAACATGACACCAACTGGCATATGAATCGTGCTTGTGCATATTCATTTTTAAGCCATCGAAGACAAAATAGTTAGAGAAAATAACATCATGTTATATAATGTAGCACAAACAAATGTCACTGATTTTTCTAACGCATTTAATGTTCAATAAATTTATTCAAGATTAGTAAGGAATATACCAATGATCTTGTTCTGATTTAAAACAGCAATAAATTTCTGGTTGCTTCTACCGCGTTGCAATGTAAGGTAAGATTATGTTGCCATGTTTGAAAAAAGAAAAAACAGATTAATCTTTTTTTCAAATAATTTGAAGTGAAAGGTGGAATTTCCAATTAACAAATGATGCAATTACAGTGGATTCGAATTAATGAAGCCTAAACTTTCCCTTATTTCTATATAAGTATAGTTACTACACTACTGGGGAAAAAAGGTATGTACTTTTAACCATATTTGTAAGAGTGAACTATTATGGAATATAAGCATTTGTTTAATCATTTCACTTCATGAAATGCAGTACTGCCACTAAAACACAAAAGGGTTATTGTGTGTGAAAGAATAAGAAAAAAGCGAAACATTATTAAGGAGCGAGAACAATACAAGAGTAATCACAAACGCAGTACATAGCATTTAACATTTTTGAAGATCCAAGTTGGCTTGAAGCATGGTGAACTCGAAAGAGAGTTTCACAAATGGAAGTACGAGAAAAGAAACTGTTAGCATAGAACTCCCGGATATATATATATATAATATAATATCAATATGCGAAGTATTATTATTATTAATATTATTATAGACAGCAGATTTTTTTATAGGGAATTTTACAAATTGCGAATAATATTTCTTAGATAAGCAGAGAATTCTGGTTTTGCCTTTAATAATATATTCCTTAATAATATGTGATGTCTAAATATGCAGAATATATTTACAGCCCGGACGCTTTTGTAAAGTGCTTATTTTTATTTAACCTTCTACATAAGCAAAACATGTCGGCTCTTTCAGGAGGACGAGCTAGCTATTGCAATCTACAAGGCTGTCGCCGAGTTGTTGAATTGAAGGTCTGAAATCATTGCCAAAGTTAGGCACACCAGCAACTTAACTTTCGAGCTATACGAAGTCGGACAAAGTTGGAAAACGATTTCCCCCTTCATTTCATCCCCTCCCACTCCCCCATAACTTCCGGTGCCGAATTAAGACATTTAAGTTTTTGTGTTGTCTATTTAATTCGCTGAGTGGCCATTGGCGGTCGAAACCGTAGTAGTGTTCCGGTCAGCATTTTATATTTTCAAGTTATTACAAGGTTTCATTTTTCTTACTTAAAATTGAGCAATTTTTAACGTGTACTATTTTAACAAAATATTTTTGTGCGTTTTAATTTAGGTGTATAAATATATATATATATATATATATATATATATATATATATATATAACATTCTAGTTAGCCAGAAACTAACTACCAAGTTATCATTTAACGGAACTTCAGGTTGCCCTTGAATCCTTGGTAGGTAGGTGCTAACGGACTAGGATTTTTTGTACTCTGCTCTATCTGGTGTATTGAGTACTTTATATCTTTTTTTTTTTTATTTTGCTCGATTACTTTTTTTTTTCTTTTGGGTAGGAATTGCGGTGTTGGGCGATTTCTTTCGAGCAACTCAAATGTTTTTTAATCTTTTCTCTCCCCACTTTTCCCCAAATACCAGTTTGTTTAAATATATATTTTATTTACAATGGGTACTAACTGGTGTTTCTTTTATACCAGTATAGGTATTAATATATATATATATATATATATATATATATATATATGGGGCGGTCATTGAGTTCAACAACAGCGGCGACAATGTGTTTCATGTTTAAACACAGTCTTCAGGCCATGTGCGTAGCTTTTTAGAAAAACTATATACTTATGCTGATCAATAGTGAATTATGAGTAGAACCCCTGTAATATTCGAGGTGTTACTGGGTGAGCTGTAACTGTTATGTTGCATATTATTCGAGAGACTATGGAGTAGATGTAACTGTGAACGCAGACGCACTTTGACTATTTTATAGTGCTATTCAATATTTGTTTTACTGAAGATT